CCAAAAATGAGCGCGATCTGTCAGACAGTTCGTTTACGGCAGCTGTTGAAACCAGTTCACCTCAGTAGTGCGTTGCGAAAAAAACAATGGAAAAAAATATTGGACAAAGAGTTTGCATCAAATTTTGTGTTTCGAACGAAATTTCGTGTGCAGAATCGTTGCGAATGCTACAAAAGGCTTATGGGGAATCAGTTTTATCGAAAACTCAAGTTTATGAGTGGTACAAAGCCTTTCAGGACGGTCGTACGACCGTCGAAGACATTTCGCAACGCACTACTGAGGGGAACTGGTTTCAACAGCTGCCGTAAACGAACTGTCTGACAGATCGCGCTCATTTTTGGCATAGTAATTAAGGACAGTGCTGCCAAACTACATAAACTTAAAATATCGAAAAATATACAGCGCGCGAATTTTAAATGAGAATTTCCGAAAACTTTTCAGTCTTAATTGTAGGAACCTTGAAATAAAACATTTAAGTAGAATGCCCTTAATAATTGAGTTCACTTGTACTGACTTTGTTCAAAGATGTAACTAAGATATTAGCTTTGTAGTTCATTAATGGTTTTGATTTCAGTTCACAGTAAAGCCAGCTGAACATGGACCAGATATCAATTGAGAAAATGGTTACCATTAGAAATGGTGCTGCCAAGGAAAAAACAAAACCTTTAAAAAATGTTTTTTATATATGAATTCAGTTGAGCACTGACGGTATGTGTGAGTGAAGCTAAGATGTTGGATTTGGAATGCTTGGACTGTTTCAATGTAAGTTTAACTATTTTAGAATGGTAAAATGAATTAAATAGATCACTCACAATTATCACAGTTATCAAAATTGTGGTCATTAGAAAAATTAAACTCTTTTAAGAAAAAACACTATAAATTTTGTAATTTTGTTTTTAATTAATGTAATTTAATGTCGAAATTATTTAAAAGTCGGTTTGGTTTTTTTATTTTTTTAAAAATATTAATTTTTATTTCGAGCGTTAATTTTTTATATATTTCTATATTTATTTCGGCAAATACGCTTTTGCCTTCATCAGGACAATTCCAAATATTAACTATAAGTTTATTTAATTTATATTATAATTGGTTTTTCTTTCTTTTTTTTAATTATTGCATTAATAAGAGTTGTGAGTTCATAATTATATTTAAAACAATTCAATTTATTTAATTTTCAATATTAAAATATAAATATAAATGCAAATGCATTAATATTAAATTAATACAAATCAAAAAAAATAAAATAAAATAAAATTTATTTGTGAAAAGTCATTAAAATTGAAACAATAATCAGCATCCATCGAAGTCTAATTTTTTCTCAATGAATTGTAAATATAAAATCAATAAAAAAATTCAGAAAGTAAAACTTAAACCGAGGGAAAGTACGGGTAGAAGGAGCAGAAAGGCCAAATCGCTGTAACCGATTGTGAACATCGATAAGTGATAAAGGAAATGTAAAAGAATTTACGCCACATTTATTTCCGGTTCCATTTTTATTTTATTTATCGCTTTTTTTTTGTTTTTTATTTAAAATTTGTGAGCTACTTTCCTCCGGTTTTCTTTGTGTTTGTTTAGTGATTGAAAATTGAACTGAAGATGACAATTCTTCCTTAATATTTTATATCCTGCAATGCGTGGAGGAAATGAGAACGACGATCTTTTTACCCAATTTCATTTTATTTTCATATTTTTCATCAAATTCCATATAAAATACTTCTTATGTTTAAGTTTGTTTTTTTCTCGTTCCTTCACAGTTTCTGCAATAATATTACTGCTGCACAGCTTCCTGGCAACTGCAATTTTACTTTAAACAACAAATGTGAAAATCGAATTACATGAAATGTGGGAAGGAAAAAGGAGTAGAACGAAAAGGAAAGGATTTTTAAACGAATTTTTAAATAAGTTTTGCATGTTGGGCACAGTATGAAACTTTTATGGATTCATTTGTAAATCAATTTCTGTTTATGTAAACTGCCTTAGTTTGTTAGTTCTAGTATAATCTTTTGTTAAATGAATTGTTACACAAACCAAAAAAAATAAAAACAGTAATAAAATGTTTTAAAACAAATATAGAAAAACGCAAATTGAAAACGTTTAAATATTTTATTTAACTAATATATTTCATTTTATTTTATTTTATTTTTTTTTGTTTTTTGGCAATGTGTGGGAAAATAAAATTAAATTGTCACAAAACTTGTTTAAAAAACCGTCTAAAAAAATATTGTTATGTACATTGTAGTCAAAATAAGGTATAAAATTCAAATTAAATTAAAAAATGAAAATTTTTTTTCAACAGAAAATATTTAATTAAATCAAAATATTTTTTTAACAATTCGCATTAATATATTCAGGTTGTTTTTTAGTAATAGATAAATTATTGACGAATTTATGAAATACTCTACTCACAATTTACAGATTTATTATCCACTCTATTGACAGTAGTTTTTAGTTTTTTAAAAACTTTGATTACTTCATCATCAACAAGAGTCACCTTCCGATACTTCAACACAATAAAACCACTTAATGAGAATATATAATGAAAATTTCCTCCATTGACCCATGAAGCACTAATTATTCAGGAGATAATTTCAACAAACCAGAAGCAAAAAAGATTAATAAGCTTAAGATAAAAAAATTGTAGGATTATGAAGAAACCTTGCAATTATTAGAGAGTAAAAGTGCTCAAGTGCACTGACTCAATTAGCCTCAACATAATAATAAAAAATCAAAATTTTGCTAAGCCTCAGTTTTAATTTCTTTTAGTGTGAAAATGTTACTCATACGCAACGTGACCCATATATTATATTTTCAAGCGACAAATTCTATATAAAGAAATTATTTATTATTTTTGATTGTGTAAGATTCTATTATTATTTTATTATTATTATTATCTGCATTAACTGTGAGTTTTCTTCATAACCCTTCTTTATGCTTTGACTGGATTAGTGTTTATCACTTCATTAGACTAAACAATAATTGACCTCAGATCTGCATACCTCCCCGAGGAGCTTGTAAACATTTTGAGATTCGAATATGCAGTGTTGGTAAGTCTGTCAGGGCTCCATCCTTTATGTCTTTATTGATCGGATCAATCTTGAGGTCTCTGAGGATGTCATTCGTCTTAATGTACCATGGTATCTTGAAAAGTCTTCTCAGAGCCTGGCTTTGTGCAATTTCTAGCTGGCGAATACCATAGTAGTGTTTGTTAGTATTGAGATTTTCATTTTTGAATAGTGGTTGGAGGTAATGAAGGATTAATGAATTATGATTAAAATAAAAAGGAAAAGTTATTAAAGTTTTTATGACATTTAGTACAATATTTACTGATATAAAAAATTCTCTTATAAAAGAGGCGTTCTATTAAAAGGCGTTGATTTTAATATTAAATTAAAAACACTAATAAATTTAATAACTTGTTTTTTATTTAATAATAAATAATTCTACATTCTATAAAAAGTTATTTTGGTTGTCTATCACAAGAGTAGCTGTAGACCATTAACTTGTGAGTCCAATATTTCAACATTTATTTAATTAAAACCTTATCTCATCATTATTGTGCTTACGGCCAATGTATATTGCCTGTTATGGAATACCCGAAAAGCAAAACTATTGTATTGCATTCATAAGAAAAATATAATTAAAAAAATGTCGAGGTTTCACCATCCTACATTGTATACGTGTTAATAGAATATAGATTCAAATAATGTTATGTTTGAAGAGTTTTAAGATCAAGAATATGTGTGTATATAAGCTTTAATATAAACTTGTAAAATAATACAACTCTGTATATAATAATTAAAAAAAAAATTGACAGAGAGAAAAAAAAAATAATTGTCAAAAAATTATAATTTATTTAATTTGCAAAACAACAATATTTTTCTGGATCTCATAAACCCAATATTGATTAGTTCAAAGTTCACTTTTATCTGAAATCTGTTACTTGAAATGTATTTTGCCAAAATACCAAGCTTTCACTCAGTCATATATTAATACCATGAATTTCAAAAATATAAATATCCACTGATGTACTCCTACATACTCCTAATTAATATAAAAATAAAGCATGCGTCCCATTTAGATTAGTCTGAATAGAGCCAATAAAACACAGTGTTTGCTATTGAATTGTAGACTGGAATGTTTATTTATGATTTATGTTGTTTAAGTGACATTATTTGGCGTGAAGAACATTGTCAAAATGCTGTTGACTACTCCACTTCTTGTCATAGTTGGTAATTCTCCTCCCATATCTTGATACACATTTCCCGCCTCACGCCTTCCGCCTCCCGACTCTGAACTCTGGCCTGTTAATCCAGATTCCCAATCCCTGAATCCCATTTCCCGATTCCATTGTTTTTTTGGCTCACCAAATACGCTGCAACACTCATTCTCATCCTACCTTTCCATCGTCACTGGGTCACTGCATTTGGTTCACAAACTTCTTCGGCATATTTTGCCATATTCTTAACTAGTTTTTCAGCATTGCCACCAACGAAAGAGTCGACAACTATACCGTTTTTAATGAAAATAAATGTCGGCATACTAGTAACATTGTATTCCATAGCTAATTCCTCGCATTCGTCAACATTTATTTTAAGTACCACGGCTTTTGCTGCATAAGTACCTGCCAACTCTTCAACCTTAGGGCTAATGATACGGCATGGTCCACACCAAGTTGCACAGAAGTCGAGCACCACCAATTTATTACCAGCTTCAGCCATTTTCATATTAAAGTCTTGTCTATTTTTTACAACATAAACCATTTTGAAATTTTTTTGAAGCCGTGAAAAAATATAAAATTTTGATATCCGAAATTTTTGAAAATTTTTCTATTGAGAATGTTACTGTTACGAAACAAAATTTAAAATGAATTTTAAATGTTTCATATTTAGTAATAAATTTTTTCAATATTTTTTTAGCATACTCTCTAAATTTAAAAATTTTTTACTTGTTTCAATTTTACGATTAAAATCTTTAACAAAATCTTTAAAATCTTTACTTTATATATGTATAAATATATATTATTAAATTGAAAAATCTTAAATCAGCAAAACATAATATATTTTTGGAATTATATGTTCGAAAACATATTGAATTAAGTTTGAAGCAATTATGCTATGTTTACACTATTGTACTTAACTTGACATATATGCAGGAATATGTGCTCTTTTCATACAAAATCCTTGTTCACATAATATTACTATTCTTTTATCATATCAAAAAGTAAATTAATAAACATTTATATATATATATATATATATATATTTTTGTCAGCGTTATTTTTTGAGATATATTTTTTTGGAAATTTATTTTTCGTTTTTTTTGCTTTATAGAATTTATATATTAATTTTAATAATAGACAATTTCAGAGATATGAATTAAAGTCATAAGTGTCATAAGTAGATAAAATCTCTATCTCGCCAATAAAATATTTTAATTCATGGACAAAAAAATTTTAATATGAGCTATGAATTTCACTTTTAGTTAGAGATCTTTGGGTAATTTTTAACCTTCTTATATATTATAATTGTTATGAATACCGCTTTTGTATGTTTAACGAGTGATATGATTTTTATAAAAAATATTTATTAAAAAATATTTTTCTCTTGAGACATTAAAATATAGACTTTTTAAATTTTCTATCTTAAGCTAACCCTATAACAGTAAAATTTACACTTGACCCGATCTGAAAGTTTTTATAAATATACAAGATAGTTGTTATTCTTTTTTATAATGCTAGGTATCTTTATTGTCATTGAAGACCATTTTGTGGATGGTTTCAAAATATATCGATTTAAGTCAAATTAGTGGATCTTTTACCTTACTTATTGGTCATAAAGTAAAAAATCAGAGTTGCCTTTATTAAAATCCGGTCGGCTTATCCAGGCTACCACATTAAATTTTTTATAAAACTTGTAGATAGTTTTGTGTACAAACTTTTAAAATAAAATTTTTTATATCAATTATTAAAGAGAATTAATTAGTATATTAAAATATTACTAAAATAAATATATAAAAAAATAAAATAATAACATAAAAATAATAAATCTCAAACCTTGATATGCTTTAAACATAATTCATACACTAGGCCTCTTAACCCAATAAACTGAACCGTGTACTTGCAAACAACATTTATTATTACTGGATAATAACAAATGAAATGCTCTGTGTTGTTCATATTCTCTAGACATGATTATATAAAGATTTAGATATGATTGATATATTGGATTTGCGTTGAAGCTTTTTCTGAGTTATTCATAAATACAACAATATCATTTGGAAATATCATTGTAAGCTATACGTACTTACTTGGTTTCTGGCAATTGCTAAATTTTATATAATCTATGGGTGTCAGAGTTTTGTAGTTCCATCTCTGAAGGGTGGAAAGCATGTCTACTGCCAAACCAAAGAATATCTCTTACTTCAATATCCCAAAGATTATTTAAGTCAATGTAATCCAAGCGAAGGTACTTTTTTCTTAGCAATTACTAAACATAAGAAAAGAAGTTTATTCTGGACTTCATATAATCTATAGGTGTCAGAATTTTGTAGTTCCATCTCTGAAGGATGTGAGGCAACAAATGCGTGTCAATGTTAAGAAATAAGTGTTTGTTCAGATCTGCTAAGACTGAGAAATATGTTAATATCTTAGTTGTTAAGATATTGTTGTCCTTAGAATTATTCCAAGCTTTCTCAAACAGTTTATATACGATCTTTCTATGTACTGATGTGTAGATACGCGGGTAATAATTTTTTTCTTTTTTATTTTCATGATACTATTTCTATTCCTTACTTAATTTTAATTTTCAATCTTGTTTTATAATTTGTAATTTCTGTTTTCGTTGTCAAATCGTATTTTATTCTTAATGTTGATTTAATTCTATATTATTTTTCATTTCTCTTTATAAAATATTCACTTAACAAAAATGTTGCTCGTCAATGTACTTTGTATGGCGAGTATTTCCGTAACGCCTGCCCGGACCATTTTGTTCTCTGCGGATTATGGTAAACATTTTTCTTGTTTATGTTTGCGATGCGCTTCAAGAAAATAAATACGACGAATTTCTCATAGTACAATTTATTGGAATTTTCTGGACCGTTGTAAATATTTTAAACCATTTTGAGTTCATTTATTTTAATATTAAAATTGCATATAAATTCCAATAAAATTGTTTAATGCCATTTTGCGCTGAATTATTACAAAATATTTCAACTATTTTCCAACCAGCATAGCAGGACCAAGGCTCTATGGTTGTTGCGAATGGACAACGACACAACGTCGCAAATCAGCCGACGTCACTTAATGCCGCCGATATTTTCGTTGCTGCATAAATCATAATTAACAGCTAAGTGCACCGCCTGAAAGGACTCGTTAAAATGCTTTTATGCTTGCGTTTGGGAAGTACACTGGGGCCACCCTGTTCGCAATTGTCTCGAAAGCTTACATATGCCAAGCGGCGCGGCGGGGGTATTGATTACTTGATTATTCGTTTGTTGTGGTTTTCGAAATGTTGGCCTTATGGGTTGCAGGGCTGTGAAGTATTTCTGAAGTATGCGGTTTGATTTGACAATTGTGGTGCGGTTTATTACTTTAGGCATAAATTCTGATTTCTTTTATCAATAATGTCATGTATATGTAACATCAGTAAATCGTAATGAAGGTCACGTATTTAAGAGGCATTATATAAATTTAATTCCACAATGTCACTCGCTTGGGTGAGCAATTACTTATAGTTGATTAGATAAGAAGCTATTAATTTGTTTAATTTAATAAAAAGAATTAATCGCTTACTTTTCTTAATTAATGCATAACATTTTAAATCGTTTATCTAACCAAAATTGCCACAAAATGCTGCAGTTTATTAAACTCATTTTTATTATAATATAGATATAATAATAAAGTTTTTTGATTCAATAAAATATCAAGAGACATTAATATTTTTAATATAATTTCAACATTATAGTATAACAGAATATTCCTTATATAAACTAGAATCGTCGGATAAAAGCTGGATAAAAATGACTACAAACATATATATCAAAACTGACTCTACACATGTTCAAACGTTGCGATATTCGAGTTACTATGTATGGTTGGCAGAGCACTGAAGGTCCCGGAGATGAGACTGCTGTAGAAACACTAGAAATGAACTTGTAATACCTTGAAGTGTACACTTTTATAAAATGAATTTTTGCTTTATACATCCCATTTTGCTAAATATAAACAATAGAAATAACCCCTCACAAAGATTTCTTCACATTTCTTAGACTATAAAAATAATCTATAAAGAAAGGATTACCGATTTTGTGGTCCTCATTTTGTCAACATTGTTATAATCACATAGGTATGCCAAAAATAACTATCATCCAAGATATTATATATTAAATTCTAGACCATGAGGTCCATTGTGACACCCTTAAGAATTTAACACCTGTCACTATAACCACTTAATATTAGAAATAGAATTTAACTCTCTTAATGAATTGAAAAAGTGCGAACCTAAGTAGGAGAGTCTATGTCTTGTAAAAGCAGGGCACTGTAACAGAAGGTGTATTGGTGATTTTTCTTCGTCATTCTCTATGCAATGTTTATAGTGCAAGGTCGTAATAATTCCAACTATCTTAAATAAATGTGCTCGGGATAGGTTGATTAGTTCTCGTAATCATGTCTAACTAATTTCTGGCCAAAATTCTACATACCACATAACATCGTTCGAATATTTTTTATGAAGCATCTTACAATACTGGATTTTTTTGTGCTAATTCTTAATAACTGCTCATTTGCAAAACATCGAGAGTTTGAGATGTCCACACAGACAAGATTCATTAAGTAACCTCACTATGTATTCATAGTATGATGCTTTGTAAAGGATATTCGAATGATGTTATATTTTATAGCAAGGTTGAGATATGTTAAAAAAAAGTATAATCAAAGTCTTAATCGTAATTAAAACATTATAATATAATAGATTATAGAAACTTAAATCGTCCGACAAAAGCTTTTTTAGCTTCTTTTATTAAATACTCCTTTGATTTCCTTTAGCTTTTTGGATCGAACAATGTTATTTATAAGTAATTGTAATAAATCTGGTATTTTACACCTAATGACAGGATCGTGACAATATATTGAAAAAAAAAAATTTGATCGAAGTAGTAATAAAAAGTGTGTAATATTTATATTCATTTTCTGAAACACACTGTTATTAACCCTGTATTAATGTTATATAGTACAAGTAATTATAATAACTCTAGTCATATTAAAGTAGGTTCCCTGTTAAAATTAATTAATCATATAAGCTGTCAAATGAACGTTATTTTAGTGGTTTTTGTTTCTTGATCATTTGATTAATTTATTAAATTGAGATAAATATGAGATAAATGAGATAATAAATTGAGGTTTTCAATAGAAAGGTTCTCAATAGAGAGATTTTCCATCAAACAGTGATGAAATTGCAACAACGAAATTTTATGTAATTTTTATATTATTGAAAACCCTTGATTATCACAGATTGCTGTACCCACCCCACACATACTATGGGTGTAGGGTATAACAATATTATTTTGAACTGTAAAAGCGTTGTCGTGTAGAGTGTTGAGAGTTCATAATATTACGTGCATTGTTTCCATTTTATGAATAATAGTTGATGCTTGACCGATTGGCATTAAGCCAAAATGCATTAAAATCATTTCTATAGCATAACCCAGAAATAAAGAAAAAATATTAATCAAAGTTTTTAATTTTCTAATTTATTTGCTTTTTTTTTGGAAAAGGCAAATCTGATAGGATAGTGCTAGTA